GAGAGAGAGAGAGAGAGAGAGACACATATAAACACATACAGAGTTATAAACACAACAAACTCATAAAACAGATAAACTTCCTCGGGAAACGAAAAGCAGGAAATAAAAACAAAGACAAAGAGAAAAGTAAAAATTGAGAAAGAAAGAAAAACGTCGATAAGGAGAAAGACAACATGAGAAAAAAACCACAGAAATAAGAGAAGAAAAAAAAAAGAGTAGAAATGATTCTCTTTAAGTGGTACAAGGGTCACAGGGCTTTCTTATAGTGTGGTTAGTGACGAGGGTGGTTGACTGCCGGAAGTGAAGTGAGGATTCCATGACGTGAGTGGGCCGGAAGTGCAGGAGAGGGAGAGAGGGAGGGAGAGGGGGGTGGGGGGAGAGAGGAAGGGAAGGAAGCAGAGAGAGATAAGGCTGTGGAGACGTTGAGTGGATCGAAGTCAAACTGATAAGGACTAAAGCAGAGTTTGTGGAGGGGAAGGGGAGGGGGAGATTGAAGCGAAATTATCTCTGTCATTCAGTCAGTCAGTCAGTCATTCAGTAAGTCAGTTACTCAGTCAGTCAGGCATAGAGCTGACTGATAAAGAAAATCAATTCCAGAATGGGTAAAAAAAATATATATATATATGGACTAAAATTCAACAAGTACCCTGACAGCACAAGGAGATTTAATTAACTTGTTATGATATTTAATAATGTGTGTGTGTGTGTGTGTGTGTGTGTGTGTGTGTTGTGAATCAGTGTTGAAGATATGATTAAATTCACTGTGTATACGGCTCGTGCAAGATGTTCAAGTCCTCTCATGTTCACCTGTATATGAACACTTCGCTGCCTCTCCTCCTCTGATCTCCCTCTACTCCATCAGCTACACTATGGAAGAGGGAAAGATAATAGAGATTTGGTTTCCCTATAAAGTTGAGGTTTATCTTAATATAACCGACTGTGTTTTGTTGTCTTCTTTAAATGTATGATATTTGTTGGTAATTTATGATGATGATGATGATGATGATGATGATGATGATGATGATTCAACTAAAACACCATGCAAAAAAAAGGTAAAATCCACACTTGGCAATTACTAAACCCTTGAGCTCTTGCTGGTTGACTTGACCGATCTTGACCAAACTTACACCCAGAAAAGATCTTATGAGAGAGAGAGAGAGAGAGAGAGAGAGAGAGAGAGAGGAGGGGGAGGTGCGAGTAAGTGTTTTTTCCCTCTCAAAATCAGGTGGTTTGGGCGAGTCTTATTAATTAGAAGGAGTGTTTGCCGACCTCCCAGGCATTATGTGGTGACGTCACGAGGTCACTTCCCCTCTCGTTTGTCCCTGGATGGTGTCCAACTACGCCGCTCTAACGTGTGGTAATATGATGCAGTTGTTGGTTTCTCTCTCTCTCTCTGCCCTTCATTAATTTCCTTCCTTCCTTCCTTCCTTCCTTCCTTCCTTCCTTCCTTCCTTCCTTCCTCTATGCACATAATAATCCACGTGTGTATCTTCTTCTCCATGCAATTAAACGTAATGATCGTTATCCTCATTTTATTACTCCCCCCTGTTCCTCTCCCAGGTTCTCTTCCACCCCACCCCCCGCCCCCACCCTTCCCCGTCACTCTCCCGCTTCCTTCCCTCCTCATTATCCTCTAATGGTGCCCCAACCACAATGCTTTCTTCACTCTGCTTCTCATCTCTCTCTCTCTCTCTCTGATTTATTATCCTTACCTCCTCTTCTTTCGCTCCACCATTTATCTCCATTTATCTGACATTTATCCTAATTTCTCTCAGTTATATTCTCGTTTTCCTTATTCAAGCAAAGTATAATTGTCTCTTAAGTAACAAGAAAGTATACTCGAGTCTCCTAAACACCGTCCACGTGGCCCACAAGATTTTATTTTTCAACGCTACAATGATTTTTACCTTAAGTGGTTTTAAAATGAAGATTAATTTCAGATTTTTTTTACTCGTGAGATGAAATATTTTTATGGTAATTTTTTTATAGTTATGCTTAATAATAATAATAATAATAATAATAATAATAATAATAATAATAATAATAATAATAATAATGATAATAATAATAATAATAAGTAAATATTTGAAGAAAGGGATTTAATTTGCACCGATACAAACACAGTAAACTTACAATCTTCCTCAAATCTTTCTTGAAATAACCAATTTTCGGGACATTTCGCCATGAGACGTGATGGGGTAATTTCTGCATCATTTGGCATACCAGGCATCCCATTTTTTCCCCTGCCAGATATTGTTATTCCCTGCTGAGCGCGAATTTAGGGAGAGAATTAGCATAGGAATTTGGGGGATACAGAATGAATTATGACCCAACTGGGGAAGTCTTGGGGGAGGGACGAAGCCTGGCCGGGAAAATGCCGAGATTTTTTGTGTCGTATTTAAGACGATGAGGGAATTTGTTGGGGGATAATGTATTTCTTGGAGACTAAATAGTTTTTTTTAGGTTAGGTTGGGTTAGGTTAGGTTAGGTTAGGTTAGGTTAGGTTAGGTTAGGTTAGGTTAGGTTAGGTTGGGTTAGGTTAGGTTAGGTTGGGTTGGGTTGGGTTGGGTTGGGTTGGGTTAGGTTAGGTTAGGTTAGGTTGCAAATACAAAAAACAACGAATGTCTTAAGGAAATATGATACATTTTCTTGGCCATTGAAATCCTCAGCAGAATTTATGTTGGTAAATTTTCTTTAGGTGGTTTTTGCTTGATAGAAAATATGTCCAAATATAATGAAAATAACGAGAGATGAATAGAATGAAATAATTGTCTTCAGCGAACCACAATAGGTATAAATATCTTCTGAATTGTGGGTGATGAAGGCTAGTGACACCCTTGGTCTTTCTGGTAACTAAACAGCTGTAAGAAAGATAAGAAAGATAAGTTATGTTTTATAAGTTTTAAAGAGTTGTTGTATCGTGTTGAAACTTAAAGACTTGATGAACGATGTTTAAAAACCTTTTCAAGAAGACTTAAGGGAAGACTTTCATTAAGACCCCAGTTAAGACTTAGTGGACTTTGGTTAATGACCCTGGCTATTAAGAAGTGCCTAGCTGTATTAAAATAACAAGAACAACAAGGAGAACAAAGCAGAACGGGAGACAAAACTTCGCTGGTCATGTTGCAAGCAATACATTTATTTTCCTTATGAAATTGTCAGACATAAAGATTAAATTAAAAGGTGTGAGACTAAACCTAAACCTAACTTAACCTGTCTCCTCAAACTGTAATACATTTCGTATCCGGCGGCGGTCAGTAAATGTTGAAGTTGTGTAACGTGATGTAAGTTAGTTTATTGTGGGCAAAACAACACAAGATTAACAATGTGTTGCTCAGGTAACTTTGTCTCGGACTGATTGATGGATGAACAGATGTAAATCAGAATTGTCCCCCCTCCCGTCCCCCCCAACACGCCGAGGAGAGAGAGAGAGAGAGAGAGAGAGAGAGAGAGATATATATATATGCTTAGATAAAGTGAGAGATTAAATAGAAAGTTTGAAATGTTAAAGTTTGAAAGTTAAGTGAAAGATCTCAAAATCAGAATCAGTAATTTTTTCTTTCCTTATGTACAAAGTTAAAACAAAAAAATACACTTGAAGGGAAAAGTTTGGCTTACGAGTATTTTTTAGTTAAAATGATGAAAATTAAAATACGTGTTTTCGTTCTGCTCACAGCAATTTCTACAATACTAATATCCTAAAATAATTACCCCGGACTAAATTCCCAAGACACATATATGTTGCAAATTAATCTACGAATCCTAATAATATTGCAAGTTTTCAAGAATCATCGCACGGACATAACCATTGTTGCAAAGAATTCAAACATCACCTGGAAAGCTAAAATAACAGACAAAAATAAATACCAGTGTTATTGTAGGTTAATGGCTATAGGAAAAAAATTATATATATTATTTACGTGTATCTCGTTAAATACGACTCTCCATCAATCCATCCAATGAATTATATAACTATAACCACGTGTGACTATACTCCCAACAGATTATATTAGTTATAGAGGGAAAAAAGAACGCGGTAGATGTTATAGTGTATATTGTTTAGTTATTGTGGGTGGTGTTTTGTACATCTCTCTCTCTCTCTCTGACGGCAGTGGAAATAAGAGGGAATTTATTTTACTGGTGGAAATTGAAAGGCAAATAACTGGTTGGCTGATAACTGAATGATGAGGAGGGGCGTATTTATTAGTGTGTGTGGGGGGGATGAAATATTATGATTGGCTATGGACATACTCACTCATTCACTCACTCATTCACTCACTCACTCACTCACTCACTCACTCACTCACTCACTCTTTCACTCAAATAATAATAATAATCATAATACTGTGGAATTTATACAGTATATAAGCGTTTATCAGAATTATCAAATTTATTGTAGAAATAAATTTTAAATCCACTGATCGAAATTAAATTATTTAAAGGTGATTTTGTATTTTTGTGACTGTAGAATATTTTATTTTATTACGTTTTAAATATTTTTTTCACACACACACACACACACACACACACACACACACACACACACACACATTGTTACAAAATTAAATTATCTCTATGCTAACGTAACTAATTCAATATTTTCCTATGTTTTAAAAGTTGTGGATGTTGTTTCTGTGTTAACTTTTTTGACTGTTGGGTTTTGTTAATAGTGGACCAAAATGGTAACTTGATTCTTCACCAACTTCTATTAAATAATATTCGTGTGGTAAATATGTCGCTGGCAGTAAACGACTTGGGTAGAATCCACTCGTATGCGGGCATGGTGTGTGTGTGTGTGTGTGTGTGTGTGTGTATGTGTGTGTGTGTGTGTGTGTGTGTGTGTGTGTGTGTGTGTGTGTGAGTTCTTCCCTAACATGATGTAAGCTACTGTTCTCTCCCTATCTTCACTCCTTCCTTCCTCACGTTGCGTCACCAGACTAACAGAAACTAACGTAACATGATTCTGAATTTAACTTAACTTCATCCATTTAATGTCATAGCTCACACCTAACTTATCAGCGCACGCCCACTGCCTCTCAGCGTCCTCCCATCGCCTCTCAGCGCACGCCTACCGCCTCTCAGCGTACGCCCACCGCCTCTCAGCGCACGCCCATCGCCTCTCAGCGCACACCCACCGCCTCTCAGCGCACGCCCACCGCCTCTCAGCGCACGCCCACCGCCTCTCAGCGCACGCCCACCGCCTCTCAGCGCACGCCCACCGCCTCTCAGCGCACGCCCATCGCCTCTCAGCGCACACCCACCGCCTCTCAGCGCACGCCCACCGCCTCTCAGCGCACGCCCACCGCCTCTCAGCGCACGCCCACCGCCTCTCAGCGCACGCCCACCGCCTCTCAGCGCACGCCCATCGCCTCTCAGCGCACAATAGAACTATCAACAGAGGCAGGCAGCAGGAGTTAGGCCCGGTCTAGTGTTGAGAGTGTGGCCTTAAGGGAGACAATGCAGGGGAATGATGACACTAGCGGGTGTGTTGTGTCTGTGGGTGCGTTAGGTCGGATGCTGTGTTTCAAGTGTGATATGTTGTGTTTGGGTGTGTTGCGTCGTGTGTTGTGATAGGAATGCGTTGTTTTCTGAGTCATATGTGTCGAGTCGTAGGTGTGTTACGTCATATGTGTGTAATGACATTTGAGTATGTTGCGATGTGAGTGTGTTGCATCGTGAGTGTACGTCAGACCGCGACCTACACACACACACACACACACACACACACACACACACACACACACACACACACACACAGCGCCTGGGACAGATGTATTCATAGGCAGGTATAGATTGACATGCATATTAAGGTGCACATGTCCAGTTACAAGGACACGGGCACTAGAACTCTCTCTCTCTCTCTCTCTCTCTCTCTCTCAGCAAAATAATGGAGGGAAAGATAGAGATGAAGAGAGAGAAACTCATACACACACAAAGGGAGAGAGAGCAAGAGAAATATGAAAACGATTTGTACATACCAAGGGAAAAAGAGAGAGAGAGAGAGAGAGAGAGAGAGAGAGAGAGAGAGTATAAGGATAAACAGAAGTGGATGAAGCTACCATTAGATGCTTCATGGATGATCAGGGGTGGATGATGACACTGTAAGATGCTCCAGGAGGACTTAACAGCTTCATCCATCATCTCAACCGGCAGCAGGAAGACGCCGCTCATTCGCCAAAGGGATCATACACGGCTCTCAGGTCATGTTTATTTTAATTACTAAACCATGTGCCTCGTTTACCTCACCTCAATTCCTTCCAAACGACCTGTGTGTTGTTACTTCTTCTGTTGTGATGTTATTGGTTGGTAGTGTCTGTTGAGATGGTTATGTTGTTGTAATTCTCGTAGTAAGTCAACTGTTCCTTGTGTTGTGATTATTCGTTCCATAAATTTGATTAAAAATGTATTTCGTAAAGTTGCTTTAACATAAACCCCGTTAATGGGTCTCAGGAGTGACGTCATCAGAGGTACTTGTAATAAGTTAACGAGGCAGTACTGGTGGTAGTTATGGTGTTGGTGTCTGTTAAAGTTTTGGCTTATAAAAAGGTAACAAATATGATATTATTATTTTTAATGGATTTTATTTTAAGGGATTGGTCTTGATAGATAAAAGTTTACTGTAATTAAATTTGACAGTAGAATGTAGAATGTCATTCAACCGCTTCCCTCCCTCCCTCCCTCCCTCCCTCCGCTGGCATCATCAGAAACCTGGTTTAAACTATCATGTTTTTTGTGTCAGCTCACTTATTTCACCATTTTTTTATATTAATAATAAAAAAAATCGCTGCACGTCTCGTGATTTATGGCGTTAAAATGTTAAAAATATCTCACTTGAATAACTTGACCATCAAATCGATTTTTATCCTGTGGAGATGTCCTTAGATTTTTTGTTTTCCTATTTATATATATTTTGGGTGGATGTATATATATATAAACTCCAAGATCTATTATTTCAAGTTAACAAAAAAAAATTAACTATGAAAATCAGTGTGAAATACGGTACACACATACACACACCTCCGGGCGACTATTATCAGAGTAAATATGGCGTCACTCGGCCAGTCTCTCATCACACCACAACTACCTGTAATTAACTCTTTGACCTTTAATGTCTTAACCTTTGACCCCTAAGACCATAATACACTGACGCTTTATCTTAGGTGTGTGTGTCTCCCTCCCTCCCTCCCTCCCTCCCTCCCCCTCCCTCCCTCCCTCCCTCCCTCATACTCCATCACAAGTCCTCCTCTATCACCTCCATCACACTTACGGTTGAGCCTTCCTCCCCTCTTCCTTCCCACATATATACTCACTTTGAAGCCTCCTCCTCCTCCTCCTCCTCCTCCTCCTCCTCCTCCTCCTCCTCCTCCTCCTCCTCCTCCTCCTCCTCCTCTTCGTCTTCCTCTCCGGGTGACCTAACATCCCCCAGCATGGTGACCTAACATCAACCCCCCCCATGGTGACCTAACATCTCCGTCCATTATAAAGTTTTTTATGCCCAAAGTAAGAAAGTTTAAAAGGGTAACAGTTCGCCCCCACTTCTCCTTTCAAACTCCTTCAAGATTATTTTTTCCTTATTCAGTATTTTGAAAGTTTTTATTTTTTACTTTGATTCAACTTCAGAGAATCTTGCTGTTTTTGTTTTTGTTTTTGTTTATTTATTATGCCAATTGTGTAAGTTGTGATTGTTTAGAAAGAAAAATATTGTGTATCTATTTTTTTTTTAGGTTTGGGTCTTAATAATAGAAAAAAAATCATAGTTTTTCAATGTATTTACGTTTTCATGGATAATGAATAAATGAACAAATTGGTGTAAGAAGTTTATTTATTTTTCCGTTTTTTTTACAATCATATTAAATGATACAGCTTTTTTTAGTGTTTTTTTTTCAAGGGCTTTTGTTATATTAGCTGTTAAATTTGA